AGCTTCCAGCGCCTGTCGCGTTCCGCGCGTCGGACGGCGGCGCCGCGTCGCCCCCTTTTCTCTCCGCCGAGCCGCTCGGCGGCCCGCCGCGCCCGGGGGACCCGCGGGGTGAAGCGCGGGGGGAAAGTTCTTGTGGCCCGCGACGCGCGGACTTGGCGTTCTGCGGCCGCGGAGCTCCAGGCCCCGGGGCAGATTTTCCGTCCCGATTCCCGAGTTTGGGGATGGGGAGACGCGGAGGGTCTGTGCTTGTGGAGCTCTACTGACTGAAATAGGCAGGGGTCGGAAGCACCCCAATACCGAGGGTGGATTACCTCTCCCTCGGACCCGACGCTGGGTCTTCAGGTAATGTGGATAAATAATAGAAAATATGCTGGAGTCACTTTCTTGTTTTTAAACAAACTATGTTACCTGTCTAATACTGTGTGTGGTCAATCCAAGACCAGATTTTGCTGAGAGGAATGTATCGTGTTGTAAACGGGCATAGACGTGCCGGGCCTCGTAGCAGGCCTGTCTGTAATCCCAGCACTCGGTCCGGAGGCTGAGGCAGGAGGACCGCTTTGCGTTCGAGGCCAACTGGGCTTACATAAGCGATTTGAAGGCCAGCCTACAAGCTAACTAGTGAGCCCTTGTTTCACAAGGGGGGCTGCGCAGGTCTAGAAGTAGATTCCCTGAATTTTCATCATCTATTTACTAGCTGTTTGATTTTTAAGCACTCTTCTTAGTCTCAACTTGTTTCTTTTTCCTTTTTCTTTCTTTTTTTTAAAAACGGTACCTGGGATCCAACCTGGGACCTTTCGCTTGCCAAGCGGGCACTTATGGCTCTAAACTATCTCCCGAGCCCCTTAATCCCAGTTTCCATGAGCTGGTTTCCTTATCAGTGAAATGAAATTATCAGTAGATCCTGTTTTGAGGAACTATTGTGATGATAAATGTAAAAACACTTCTGGCCTTTAGTTAGTACGCCATAAAAGATTAAAACTGCTGTCCCAGTGCCACCCTCACCCCACCCCACCCCCATTCTAGGGATTGGATCAAGGGCCTTCACACTGAGAGCTGCGTCCCTAACCCTGGATGCATATTTGTTTATTCTACGTTTTGAGACAGGGTCTCTGTACCATAGTTCAAGTTGGCCTCCCTCTCCTGCCTTGGTCTTACAAGGTGCCACATAAAATTGAGGAGCCAAGCATGGTGGCACGTCACTGTAATCCCCTCGCTTGGGAGGCTGATTCAGAAGGGTCTCTGAGTTCAAGGCCATTTTGCAATTAGTACATAGTGACACTGTCTCAAAAAAAAAAAAAAAAAACAAAACAAAACAATACCTATCATAATAATTGGATTCTTGATTCTTTGTGAAATTGTCATACTTATAAGGTGTTCTCTAAAATTCTGTTTGAAACGAGCAAGTCATTCTCCACACAGAGCCTCACAAGCGATTTTTGGAGGAGATTTAAGACTAAAGCTAGTTTAGTGTCGTGGTAGTTACTTTCTGGAGATTATGACCTGCATCTACAATGTAAATCTATAGAATTAAACTGCCTAAGTGTATAAAAAAAGAGCCTATAAAAAGGATTAGATTGGGCCTGGAAAGATGGCTCAGTGGAATAAGCGCTTCCCTGGCAAGCACAAGGGCCTGAGTTCAATCCCCTGTTCCACCAAAAACAAACAAACAACAACAACAAAAAAAGGATCAGATTAAAAAAGTACTATAACTTTGATAAAGTAAGATGGTAATACAATGAGAAAAACAGGGAATAGTCACACTAATATAAACTTGAAGACAAATGCCAAAAATACTTTGGGAAATTTTTATAAAGTTGTATCTTTTAATGTTGACTTTGGGGAAAGGAGTTTTCAAATAAATATTATATAGTGGATTTTATTTTTAAGATATTACCTATGTAATTACTTTTCTGAAACAGGGTCTTACACTGTATTTTAGACTGGTCTCGAATTCATTGTATAGCCCAGGTGTCACCCAGAGCCTGCTTCTCAGTGTCTCAAAGCTGCCTGGTTCAGGGCTGCTCACCTCTTCCTCTGGAGTTGAATTCCAGGTACTGTGCATCCTGAGCAGAGAACTGGACAAAACAATCAAAAAGCAATGGCCAAGTTTATTGGAGAAAGTAAAAGTGAGTTGAGGAGAAACTGGCTCTGCAGAGATAACGTGGGCCAAGTGAAAAAGGAAAAGGCAGATAGGCAAACACTGTGGAGAAGCAGGTTGGGCTGTCAGGAAGAGCCCGGTGGTGAGCTCTGCATGGCTGGCCTCTGCTTTTGTGCTGTTCACAGCTCAAGGAAACCCATAATAGCCTCTTAAGTGTGGATCCTGAGAGGCAGTGCTGGGGTCCTGTGCCCAGTGCAGGTGTCAGATCCAGCTCATCTGTTGAAAACCTGTTCAAGCTCGCAAGAGAAGTGCACGTGTGGGGATTGGGTAACTGTTGTACACACATTTTCCAGGACCTTTGTAATTAACAAGTCACGTACACTTCCCCAGTCTGCTTTGCCACCCCCTAATCTTCTATCTCATTTCCCCACTGAGAGACACAGATCTCCATAGTTCTGTGTGGGGTGCTGAGAGGAAGGAGCTGTTTTATAGTCTCTTCAAACTGGACAGGTAGGCCCTACCTTCTGGGGATTACATGCTCTCCTACTACTTTAGGGTAGTGTGGCTCACGAGCTAGGTTGAAGCATGAAACCTTCCAGAAACAAGACCATTTACCTTCATTATTGGTCCAAATATGAGGAGTAGGTCAGATTTCCATGTTTCCTGTAGTGGTACGGAGTCTTGCTTTTGGAAGAGAAATCTTAGGTCTCCAGAGACTCACCGGAGTAGATTTTTAATTTTTGGTGAGCTTGGTCTCTAAGTAGTAACTTGTCTGTGTCCACATAAGCCAGAGGCCTTATGCACCACTTTTTTGATTCTTCCTAGCAAGGGAGCAGCACATTGTGGGACAATGAGAAACTCATGGTTAAACATTTGGCCTTCAAAATGACACATCGGGGAGTAAGGACTCTCCACCGAGGGAATCCCCTCAGCTCTAACTATGGCTGTCTATCTAGAGGCAAGTTTTCCAGAGTAGGAAGACAAAACAAGCTGCTCCTATATCAATAAGGATGTGAATTGTTTCATGACACCACAATGTACCCAGATTCCTTGAAAGAGAGGGCATATCTGTGGCATTGCAGGGGCCCCTCCAGTCATTAGAGCAAGAAACAGGGTTCCGGCTGGCCTCGCACATCTCTGGGAGTGGGCACAGTCAAATCTCCAGTGCCACGGGTCTGACACATCACCTGCCTGACGTGTGGAGCAGGGCCCAGGTGGAGACATGGTGCTGTCCAGTGCTCAGTGCTGTTGCACTTGAAACAGTTTTCCCAGGTGTCTCTGGGTTTTTCCTTAGGTGACCTGAGTGGGTTTAAAGTATTAGCAAGTGCAGTAGCTATGTTTTGTCTCTCCTCTGGGCACCAGTTGTTGAACATAGAGAAAGCTGTGTCTGGCAGTTGGGCCATAGGTGTCTGTGGTCCGATCTGAAGTTTGGTAGATTATGCCTGATATCTGGGACTGACAGACCAAATCTTGTCTCATTGGTGTCTCTCCCTCCCTGAAAGATGAACCTATGTATGTACACTTATGAAGACTCAACATATATCTGTCTCCCTGGTAAGAACAGCTAGCCTATCAGACATCACTTCTAGTCCATTCTAAGTATTGTAAGTCTCAGTTTGTTTCTCTTGAAGGGGGGATAACCCCTGCAAGGTGGTTGCCTTTCCTTTTGAAAGCATGTTCATTTGCATAGCTGCTAGCCTCTTGTACATCTGTGTATGTCAGAGACCCTCATCTCTCTGAGAGATAGGTGGAGATTACAGGACAGGCTGTCCTCTTAGTTTTTGAGACTTTAAGACTCACAAAAGTCTGAGCATAAAAAATTGCATTTCACCTTTTATGTTCTAAGCAGAAACATTTTAACTACCACCTAGTTCATATTGCCCCAAACCATATTGCAATAGTAGATAAGGTGCTTCTGTTTTAGATTGTGAGGCTCAAACCTCTCTCATATCAGAATTTGGTCTAGAGGCAATGTTGGTGAAATCCTACATGGTTGTGAGGTGCAGTAGATTTCTTATCTGCTTGTCTTGGGGCCCGTAGAGGGAAGCCTACACTCTTTAAGGGTATGTGTCACACTGGAGGACACCCCCAGTTTTATACAAAGTGTCCCTCATGAAATCCTAACACAAGACTAGATTCACTTCTCTGTCCCAGCAGTGCCCATATTATTAAGCACAGAAGAGAGCCTAGAGGAGGTGTCTCTATATTTGGACTCATTAACTCATTCTGGAGAAGGGGCTGAAGCCACTTCTTGGCCTAACCTATGCTTAAACTCCCACGAAGGGGGGCACTTTCCCAAGCAAAGTTCCCTAAGCCACCTGGTTGAACACCTTCATGGTTTACCTTGTATTGTCTTGAGTCGCTTGACAGCTCAGCTGGAATTTTGAATCCCTTGATGACTCTACTTAGCCACAAGTAGTGTGGGAAAACATCTTTTACATTTACTGTTACTTTAATTAGATTTTAAAATCTTAAATGTTCTCTTCAGGCACTGGGCATAGGTCTTTAACTTAATATGGATTTAAACAGAAGCACAAGAGTCAGGGAAGCGCAAAAGCCTCAGGCAGGTTCTTGGACCAGAGGAGACTGCAGTGTTGCCTGTGCTTG